TAAACACCACCACCACCATCATTCTCATAATCATCATAATCTCATCATCATCATCATCAAGAACTACATAAACACCACCACCACCATCATCCTCATAATCATCATGATCTCATCATCATCATCATCAAAAACTACTTTAACGACACCATGAAAAACTGCTATGAATAAAAGTAGGAAGTCAAGGTTCTTGTAAAACCTACAACTCTAGATTGCTTCTGCTCGGCAGATTGTTGAAACGTCATTCACCAACACTCAGTTCTTGATAGTCACATAAATAACCCGCATCTTCACACTCTTAACACTCTTAACACCATGTCATTAAGTAGTTTTGCTCAAGCTGCTCAGGGCTAATCAGCGTTACAAGATACAGAGTTACGAAGATACAAAGATACAGAGTTACAAAGATACAGAGTAAAAAAATATCTCGTGGTACTGAAAAGAAGCCAAAATAGTGTTTGTCACGACGGGGAAGTGGGGGAGTGTTACTTCCCTACGGATACATGGATTGTGAGATGCTTTTCGTGGCTTTCTTCTTCTTTATTTCTTCAGCTGTAACTTAACTCTTGACTTACTCTGGTTCCAACTGCAACTAACTCAATCTGACTGACCAACTCCAACTGCACAAGTTCTCAATTCCAACTACTTCTGAACTAAAACTGTGCTGCATGCACTCAAGTAGCAATGACAAACTTAATGAGATTCAGTCAAGCAGAAGCTTGATTGACATCTCACACAACGATTCTCATTGGCTAGTCAAATGCAAGCATAGTAATTATCTAGTTCCCAATTCCCTAGGAGGAATTTGAATCTTTCCAAAATCAGTTATCATATTTATGTTATATGCAAACGTCCAGCAACTTAACCGTCGCTAGACTAGGTAGTTTTCTATTAGCTATTGAAATAAGGTTAGGAAGTTATTCGAAATTAACAGAGATTTGACTGTTACAAAGTGGGGCTATCAGTCGATTACTGACAGCGCCCAGTTACTTAATATTCAAGTTGAGATTGGGGTTTAACTTTGTTTAAGCTTTGTAGTCAAGAATTCTGTCTTTTGATGATTTAGAAAACATAATCATCTTGTTTTCCCTAAGCTCCTTTTCTAGCTATATGATTTTAATATCTTTTATCCCGACTTTCTGGCGTTCACTGAAGCAGATTAGCACTAAGCAGAGTTTCATACTTATCTTAATAATTCTCCTTTACATGTTTGACCGCTAAAAGTCGTGTTTTACTCTACAAACGAGAGAATAATGTTATGAACGAAATGAATTAGAATCCAAACAATATAACTGTGAAATACTAATATTACTAATGTGTATGCTTCTATTGTTTTCTATTGTTCAACTAACACTATTTTGCATATCATCCAGGGGTGGATCCAGGAATTTGTTCAGGGAGTGGTGCTGCGCACAAAGTTAACCAAGAGAGTGGTGCACCCCTTAGAATCAAAGGCAAAAACATTATTTTGTATTGGTTATCTTCGAAGTATAGGGGCACAAAGTCGAACCAGGGAGGGGTGAGCACCCCCTGCACCCCTCCCCTGGATCCGCCACTGTACTCTGTTTACATGTAATTCAATATCGCTGTAACTCTATTTTCTTGTATTTTCTATTTTCTTGTAACTCTGTTTTATTGAAATTCGATATCTTCGTAACTCTGTATCTGAGCTAGGATGAGATCATATAAGAATTGGGCGGTTGATACAGATAGCTATTAATCCTTTTTTAAGCCAAGTAAGGGTATATTTTCGAAAAACAATTTTGTTCAGATGGATTCAGCTGTTCAAAACACAAAGAGAATTTGCTTCTTATTTGCATTTGTTTGGTTGTTCAAATTTTACAAGATGGTTCAATTGATTGTGAAAAAACAAACCAGTTTTATGTTTGGTGTAAAGACTGGTTAAAGGCAATACACTTAAACCTACCAGATCTTAATATTAAGAATGTATTATTGGGATTTGACGAAACGTTTTTGGAAAAATTTCTTTTTCTGATATTTCTGACAACTTTAAATTTCGCTAGGAACAAGAGCAAAAGCCCTATATCAGGATTTTCAATTATAATAATAATAATAATAATAACAACTTTATTTAATGAGGGTGGCACTAAATAGTGTACTACACT